AATTCGTTTAACGGGGACTAGGGATGTGGTGGGGAGGGAAAGAGAAAGGGACAGGAGAGGCAGCTATGTTACGTGGGAGGTAAGACAAGTGGGGGAATGTTGGAGTGGGAGGGGAATGAGAGGGAGGGGGAGAAAGAGTTGGATTGGAAGGGGGAAGGAAGAAAGGGTATACGGGGAGGTTTGGGTAACAAAGGGAGAGGGTGAAGAAAGATGGAAGGAAAGACGGACAGGTAGAAGAGGAGGGTAGTAGTAGGTGCTTCGGGAAACCTGGAAGAGTGTAAAGAAAGGAGAAGAAATAAGGTGAGAAGAAAGAAGGTGAGTAGAGACTTTTGGGAGGAAGGAAATGGGCTAAAAAGAAAGAAAGAAAGAAGAAGAAGAAGGAGAAGAAGAAGAAGAAGAAGAAGAAAGAAGAAAAAAAGAAGAAGAGGAAGAAAAGAAGAAGAAGAAGAATAGGAGAAAAAACATGGAACCGCTTAGATATGAATGTTCTCAGTATCCCAGTAGACTAAGGTGCCCAAGTATTGCTCTTGTATGCGAGGTTCTCAGGTGCCGCGAGTGAATAGAACCCCAACTATTCCTCACACAGAGGGGGGGGGGGGGTGGTGGCGACCTATTGAACCTGGAGGTCGAAGCCATGCTGCTTTCGGCGTGGGGCACCTTATCATTTTTATTAATAAAGTATGTGTCTGTCTGTGTGCGTGTGAGACAAAAAAGAAAGGGAAGAAAAGAAATAATACAATACCATTCCCATTTTCTTAAAAATCGGAATCAACAAACAGAGAGAGAGAGAGAGAGAGAGAGAGAGAGAGAGAGAGAGAGAGAGAGAGAGAGAGAAGAGAGAGAGAGAGAGAGAGAGAGAGAGAGAGAGAGAGAGAGAGAGAGAGAAAGGACACACAGACACACACAAAGAGAGTGAAAGAGAAAGAGAAAGAAAGAAAGAAAGAAAGAAAGAAGGAAAGAAAGAGAGAGAGAAAAAAACAATAAATTTGCCAAGTAAAAAGCGCCACCTTCACCATCCCACAGCACCGTCCAACTGCGTCCAGTACTACACGGGCGTCAGCGGTCAGGTCATGTCCTACAATTACGGCCTGACCGACGGACTCGAGCTGGCCAACCAGGACTACACCATCTGCATACGGACGGAGAGGAACTTCTGCGGGATTCAGTACGAGGCTTGTGCAGACACCGGTAAGTGTGGCTCAGACGTTTTTACAGTGAAATTGATGGGATACTCAAAGGCAGGAAGAAGAAGAAGAGGAGGAGGAGGAGAAGGAGGAGGAGGAGGAAAAAAAGAAGGAGAAGGAGAAGGAGGAGAAGAAGAAGAAGAAGAAGAAGAAGAAGGAGGAGGAGGAGGAGGAAAAGGAAACTTCTGCGGGATTCAGTACGAGGCTTGTGCAGACACCGGTAAGTGGGCTCAGACGTTTTTACAGTGAAATTGATGGGATACTCAACAGCAGGAAGAAGAAGAAGAAGAGGAGGAGGAAGAGGAGGAGGGAGAAGAAGAAGGAGGAGGAGAAGGAGAAGGAGAAGGAGAAGAAGAAGAAGGAGAAGAAGAAGAAGAAGAAGATTTTTACAGTGAAATTGATGGGATACTCAACAGCAGGAAGAAGAAGAAGAAGAAGGAGGAGGAGGAGAAAGGAGAAAGGAGGAGGAGGAAGGGGGAGGAGGAGGAGAAGGAAGAAGAAGAGGAGGAGGAGAAGGAGAAGGAGGAGAAGTAGAAGAAGAAGAAGAAGAAGAAGAGGAGGAGGAGGAGGAAGAAAAAGAAGAATAAGAAGAAAAAGAAGAAGAAGAAGAAGAAGAGGAGGAGGAGGAGAAAGAAAAATAAGAATAAGAATAAGGAGAAGAGGAGGAGGAGGAGGTGGAGGAAGAAGAAGAAGAAGAAGAGATCATAGAGAACTATTTCTTAGCATGATACAGGTAATGAACTGTGCATTCAAAGACGAAAAAAAATCCTTCTTAGTGGAAGACTTTTGTATAGGGCGAATGAGAAAGAAAGAAAAGAAAAGGAGAGTAAAAAGAGAAAAATAAAGGAATCTAGCTCGAATAAAACAATAGAAACTAATAACGTACTGACAAAGCCATACTTTAATGAGTGAGTTTGTATAACTTAAATAATTTTGAAGATCGCAACGTCTTCTTAGGATAATAAAGAAACCATGTTTACAATTGAATTTGTTTCATCTTTATTTTTCCGTGAAAGACGAAAACTACAGCTGTGGAAGATTCATGGCTCCAGCGCGGAAACTCCCAGGGGAAAATATTCAGGTCTTTGAGAGCACACTCCTATGTCCTTTGTAAAATAAATAGATGAATATGTAATAAAGCATCTCTCCCTTCTCTCGCTCCGTCTTCTTCTATCTCTCTCTTCCTCTCTCGTATCCCTCCTTTTCACTCACGTTTCTTCGCACTCATCTTCTCTCTCTTACCCTTCTCTCTCTTACGCTTCTTCCTTTTTTTCTCACCTCTCATTTCACTCCCCCTTTTTTATCACTCACCTTTTCTTTCTCACACTATCCTTCTCTCTCACCACTCATCCTTCCTCGCAATGACCTTCTCATTCACCCTCTCTCACTCACCACCCATTCTCTTATCTTTCCTCTCATTCATCTTACTCACCTTCCTCTCCTCTTCCTCTCCTCCTCTTTCGCTGTTATCCTTCCTCTTCCTCTCCCCTCTCCTCCTCTTTCGCTGTCATCCTTCCTCTTACCCTTTCCTCTCCTCCTCTTTCGCTGTCACCCTTCATCTTCCTCTTCCCTCTCCTTCTCTTTCGCTATCACCCTTCCTCTTCCTCTTCCCTCTCCTCCTCTTTCATCCTCTCACCCACCTTTCCCCTTATTCACTTTATCTCCGTCTTCCTTCTTTTCGTTCACCCTCCTCTGTTTCTTCCTCTCATCCACTGTCTCTCCTTTTCTTTCTCTTGACTCACTCTCCTCGAACCCAACCTTCTCCCTACTCACTTTCCTCTCATTTTCTTCTCATACTCTCTTTTCATTCACCCTTCTCCTCACTCCCTCCATATTCTTTCTCTCTTCTCACTCTCCCTCCTTTCACCCAATTTCTCTCACTCACTTTTTCTCACACATCCTTCTCCATACTCACCCTTCCTCACACCCGTTTCTCACTCTCTCTCATTCTTCCTCACTTCCTCTCCTTTCAACATTCTTTCCCCTTACTCTTCTTCTCTCCTTCATTCTTCTTGCCTACGTTTTCCTTCGTTCACCCTCTCTCACCCACCTCTTCCTTCCCCTCCCTCACCCTTCCCCTCTATCATCCTATCACGCGCTCTTCCCCTCCCCACTCACCCTTCCTCTCATCCACCCTTCCCTCTTCCATTCCATACTCGCTCTTCCCATCCCTCACCCACCCTTCCCATCCTTCCTAACTCACTCTTCTCCTCCCTCACCCACCATTCCTTTCCTTCCCTTCCCTCACTCACCCTTCCCCTCTCAAACACCCTCCCTCACCCACTTCCCCTTCCCCTCCTCACCCACCCTTCCCCTCCCTCACCCACCCTCCCTCCCTAACCCACCCTTACCATCCCTCACCCACCCATCCCTTCCCTCACCCACCCTTCCCTCCCACCCTCCCTCTTCACCCACCTTCCCCCCTCCCTCATCCCTCACCCTCCCCACCTCCTCCCTCACTCCCTCTCCCTCTCTCCCCCCTTCCAGTGAACACCAACCCCAATCCTTCACCCTGTCCGGCCGCCCCACGAGCACCGCCGGGAGCCTCGCAGGAGCGACATCCTGCACCAAGGACTGGCTGACGATTCCCTGCGTGACAGACAGCGCCACCACGCCCGTCACCTCCTGTCAGGATCGGCTCTGCGGGGACAGCTTCAACGTGGTGGAGTCCAGGACGGCGGGGAACGTGGTCGTCTACTGTGAGTGCGGGGTTGTGGGGGGATTGGGGGGGGGGGGGGGTTGGGGGTTGGAGGGGGGAGGGGTGTGGGGGGTGTGTCTGTAGTGGTGGGGGTTTGGGGTTGGGGGTTGGGGTGTGGGGGTGGGGGTGGGGTGGGGGTTGGGGTGGGGGTTGGGGGTTGGGGAGATTAGAGGTGGGATGAGTGAGGTGGGGGGGTGGGGGTTGTCTGTAGTGGTGGGGGATGGGTGGGGCGAGGGATGGAGGTTGGGGGGGGGAGATTAGAGGTGTGGGATGAGTGAGGAGGTGGGGGTGGGGTTGTCTGTAGTGGTGGGGGTTGTCTGTAGTGGTGGGGGATGGGGGGAGGTTGGGGATGGGGTGTGTGGAGGTTCGGAGGGGTGAGGGGTGGAGGTTGGGGATGGGGAGGTTAGAGATGTGGAGGTTTAGTGGGGGGGTAAGGGGGAGTTGGGGGGGGGTGAGGGGTTAGGTGTGGTTGGGTGGGGGTGAGGGGTAAGGGGGATGAGAAGTGTGGGAGGGTGACGGATGGAGGTTGGGTGAAGGGGAAAGATGTGTGGGAGGGGTGAGGGGTGGAGGTTAGGTGGGGATGAGAGGTGGGAGAGGGGTGAGGGGTGTAGGTTGAAGTGGGGAAGGTGTAAAGGGAGCTTGTCTGTTTCTCTTTGTCGTCTGCTGTGAGTGGGGGTCTGGAGGGGGGTGTTGGGGAGAGGCTAGGGGCTGGGTTAGGTGAGAGGTTGGATGGGGGCTGATGGGTGGGGTGGGGGGGGAAGGGTGTAAGGGGAGGACTGATAAGTATTTTATTTCTTACTTGTCTGCTTCTCCTTGTCCTTGGGTTCATTTTGTCCTGTGTTGCGAGGGGGGTGTATGTACTTATTCATCATTTTAAGTATATAGATTTGTGTCTTTTTGATTATTTCTCTGCACATGATAAGACATTACTATGCCTTATAACAGATGTTAGATATGCAGCCTATGACTCAAGATAAATTTGATCAGACTATGGAGAAAAAGATACATATACGTATATACATACACACACATACACACACACACACACACACACACACACACACACACACACACACACACACACACACACACACACACACACACATACATATATATAT